ATCAGATTGAGAAAGTGCCCTTATCTTCCTAGTTTGTTGAGAGTTTTTTCAGGACTGAATGTTCGATTTTTTTTTTTTACATGATGTTCTGCCTCTATGGAAATGGGATAAATCCGTTTGGTGATCATATATTATCCTTCCTACATATCATTGGATTCTATTTGCTAAAATCTTATTTAGGATTTTTCCATCCATGTTCATGAGAGATATTGGCCTATAATTTTCTTGCAGTTTCTTTAATTTTAGCGTTAGGGTAATGTTGACTTTATAGAATGAGTAGGAATGCATTTGTGCTTTTCAAGTTTTTGAAGAGTTTTTGTAGACTTGCTACTATTTCGTTCCTCAGTGTTTGGTACAACTCAGCAGTGAAAGCCATCGAGGCCTGGAGTTTTCTTTGTGGGAAGATTTTAAACTGCAAATTCAGTTTCTTTATTTGATTTGAAGATGGAGACAGAGAAAATTGTTTCATTTTTTACTTTAAATATTAGAGATTGATAGGAACCATACAGTTTTCTTCCAACTCATTTTAATAATACAAAAACAACAGGGAAGTAATGAAATCATAAGGCATAAAAAGAATAGAAATTCAAAAAATTAATTTTGAATACAAATTCATTACATTCTCTTATTAGTTGTAAACACTTAAAAGCATCAGTGATGGGCCAGACACTTTTCTAAGCAATCCTATATAATAAAAGCCTAATATGCTAAGTGTCCGGTCGACCAGTCAGTCGTTCAACCAATCAAAGCATAATATGCTAATGATATGCTAAGGCCACTCAACTGTTTGCTATGACGTGCACTGACCACCAGGGAGCAGATGCTCTGACTGTTAGGTTAGGTTGTTGCTGGGGGCCGGCCGATTGGGACTGAGTGAGATGGGCCAGACACGCCCTGGAGTCCTCCCGCAGTCCCTCCCTGGCTGGCCAACCTCCCCCATCCCTCCCCAGCCCTAATCGTGCACCAGTGGGGTACCTCGGCTTGGACTGCGCCCTCTCGCAATGTTGGACCCCTCGGGGGATGTCAGAGAGTTGGTGCTTAACATAGTGCCTATCCTATCTAATAATAGAGAAACATGGTAATTAATCATAACTTCGCTCCCTTTCCCCTTGGCTAATCAGCAGGATATGCAAATTAACTGCCAACCAAGATGGCGGCCGGCAGCCACGCAGCTGAAGCGAACATGAGGCTTGCTTGCTCCAGTGACGGAGGAAGCCAAGGTTCCCCACCTGCTGCAGCCCAGCTCTGAGCTCCAGATGCAACAATGTTGCAATTATAGAAGCTAAACAAAGCCCAGATATCTGCTTTCAGCCAGCCACAGCCTCAGAGCTGGAGCCGGCTCTCAGCTCCAGTGACAGCTATAGAAGGTAAAAAAATCCCAGAAAAAAAAAAAAGAGGCTGGGAGCTTCAGTCTCCCACCAGCCTGAAAATGGCCCTCAGCCCCTCCCCCAGGCTGGCCAGGCCCCCAAGCGGGACCCCCACCCTGATCCGGATCACCCTTCAGGGCAAACCAGCTGGCCCCCACCCGTGCACCAGGCCTCTATCCTATATAGTAAAAGGGTAATATGAAAACTGGCCCTAACAGGAGATAGGCTGGGAATGACTGGTCCCTATGACACACACTGACCACCGGGGGGCAGACGCTCAATGCAGGAGCTGCTCTCTGGTGGTCAGTGCGCTCTCACAGCGGGGAGCTCTGCTCAGCCACAAGCCAGGCTGATGGCTGCCAGTACAGCGGTGGTGGGGGGAGCCTCTCCTGCCTCCTCAGCAGCGCTAAGGATGTCCAACTGCAGCTTAGGTCTGCTCCCCGAGGGCTGCCGGGCTGCCAGAGGGATGTCTGATTTCCGGCTTAGGCCCAATCCCCCAGGGAGCAGGCCTAAGCCAGCAAGTGGTCACCCCCGAGGGGTCCCAGACTGCGAGAGGGCACAGGCCGGGCTGAGGGACCCCCTACCCCCGAGTGCACAAATTTTTGTGCACTGGGCCTCTAGTCTATATATATAAAAGGCTAATATGCAAAGCATCTCCTTGGGAGTTCGATCGCTCGCTATGATGTGTGCTGACCACCAGGGGTTGGCGCAGAACAAAGGAAGGCCTCAGCTGGCAGCCGGCAGCCGGGAAAGGGAGGCCCCGGACAACAGCTGGAAGGCCCCAATCGGCCCTGATCGCCGGCCAGGCCTAGGGACCCTCCCCATGTGCGAATTTCATGCACCAGGCCTCTAGTTTAAATATATTAACTTGTTTAACCTTATCACCCATCTATAAGGTAGGTGTAGTTATTACACTGTTTTACAGGCCAGGAAACTATAGGAGGGCTAATTAGCATATTTGAAGTCACACAGCCAGTTTCAGAGCTGAGACTTGAACCCAGCCAGACCTGTTTAGTGCAAGAGTCAGGGTGCTGAACCCCAATGCCATGCCACCAGGAAGGACAGACAAGAGGCAAGAATTTTCAGTTTGAATTAAAAAAATATACATCTACACAAGCTGTTAGCAAAAGGTATATGTTAAAATCAAATGCCTTAGAAAGATAAATAAATATATGAAGAAAGAGACAAACACAATAAAAGAGTGGCAAAGTAATCAAAGTAATATACACAGCACACCGCAATAAAAGACATGACATCGACACAATAAGGAGAAATAATTAGAAACATCACAGTAAGTCATCTGCTGCCTTCTTTAAGAATTTGCATTACTAACCATCTACCTATAACAATGGGCCATGTGCCTACCTTGTCAGCACTGAATTTGTTTATAAAAAGTCACTGTTTTCTCCTTCCAGGAAACTCCTTTTCTCTATGCCATTTACCCCAAACCTTAGGCTAACGATAGGCCACCCACAAGAAGTCTGAGACAATTGCTAGCAAGCCAAGGACAAACACCAGAAGTTTGTTGACATGCAGAGGGCTGGAGGTGAAAATTTCCTCATGAAAGCCCCCTCCATCCCTTCTCCTACTACATCCACAACACCTGTCTGTTCCAGAAATCATAGAGCCTGTATCTGAGGTCCTTCAAAATGATGGGGACTGCCAGCTCCATGGCTTCTCAAATCCATCTTCATTCACCCATATTCCCTATTCCTTAAGGCCCTGCACAACCCATCTGGGTAGAATAGCCTGGTGGCCAGGGAGGGGGAACTATGTTGTACACAAGCTGGATATGCTTCAGCAATGCAGTAGCTGCTTTTCTAGTCCCCCGAGAAGAACACTGCTAGGTAGAGCAGTTGTGGAAGTCTCCTACTTCATGATATGCACAAGCAGGCTAAAACTCCCCTCCAGCAAACCTGGGGAAGCCTTGGCCATGCTTCCCCTGGAGAAAGGGGCTTCCTGCTGCCACAGACCTTGGCTGCAGGTGTACATCTCCCCACCCTCCCTTCCCTTCTGCATCACTGGGTTAAGAATTTCCACTAATACTTTTAATAAAATAGGAAATCCACTGGAGGGTCAGAAAAACTTTCTATGAATGTCTTTGATGCCACGTTGCTCTGAATACTCAGAAACAGAGCCCTCAAGAAAGCCTGGGAAGGGTCATTGACTCTGCTTAAGGTTCTTAACCTCTTTTACACTCCAGTTCACTTGAAGGACAAGACACACTCCCAACAGTAACTATGGCTTACCACGTCAATGGCTCTCACCCAGGAGAGAGGTGGGGGGCCCAAGGAGGCACGCATATTAAAATTGGGAGGGGGCAGTAAGTGCACTTGAAAGTTACCCAGGTGATAAGCAATAACCCAGGTGTGGAGGGTATATCATCAATATAGCATGCTGATGAACAGAATGGTTTAAAACAGTGGTTCTCAAAGTTAGCTACACATCAGAATCACCCAGAAGGTTTGTTAAAACACAAGAATCTGCATTTCTTAATTGATGCTGATGCTGCAGGTTTGAGCACCACTCTTGAGAATCACTGAATTAGAAGATGAACTTCCTGCCCTCGCCTGTGTTTCTCAGTGGTTGGAGTGTAGGCCTGCACACTGAAGGGTCTTGGGTTCAATTCCCAGTCAAGGGCACGTACCTGGGTTGCAGGTTCGATCCCAGCCTCAGTCAGGGCACATGTGGGAGGTAACAAATTGATGTTTGCTTCACATTGATGTTTCTCTCTCTCTCCCCTCCCTCCCTCCTGCTTTCTCTAAAAATCAATGGGGAAAAAAGAAAATGGACTCTATAGCCCACTGTCTACACCTAAATACCAGCTCTGTCACTTAGTAGCTGTGTAGGCAAGTTTATTTACTCTCTGTGCCTCAACGTTTTCATTTATAAGATGAATAGCATCATCCATCTTATAGAGTTATGATGAGAATAAGTGGCTATAAAGCATTTAGAATAGTCATTGTACATTATAGATGATATGTGAAAGCTTGTTGTTTTATTATTATCTTCTTGAAGTTCAGAGAAATGAAGAAAGATATGAAGAAAATTCAAATCAAGGCCCGGTAATAATCTGCAATGAAGCAATAACATTTAAAATTCAGGGAGAATCCATTTTGGATTGCTACTCTTTTATCACTCTCTTAATCATTATGATTAACGAGACTTGAAATTATAATCAGTTACTATAATTTTGAAAAATATACCGTGTGGACAATTTTTATGACTGAGGCGGACTTCTAATGAATAAATCTATCTTACTAACTAGGCTCGGAAGCACCACTAATAAAAGCATTACTGCCACCTGGTGGCAGCATACCAAAATTGTTGGCAATAGCACCAAGGAAAATTAATCAGCATCTTTAAGACTGAACTTGCAAACGTAAAGCTCATCAGTTGGAATGTCACAAATGAGGAAAAGGTAACACTGGTTTGGAGAGAAGGGTGAAAGGGGACCTGTGTTTCTCAGTCCTGTTGTTGGTGCCGATGATGAGACCAAGGTACAACCTACCTTTCTAGGTCAGCTCACAGTTCCAGTCTTTCCCACCCCGTGGGGGGGGGGGGGGGGGGTATGGCTTAATACAAACCAGAGGTTGGGGAGGGAGGGACTTGGAGCTGATGAAGAACACGCACCAGGATGAAGGAGGCCGACAGCCTGGCAGAGAGGCTGTTTTCGGGAGAGAGGGTGGTCATGGCTCCTGCTGGTTGTCTTCAAAGCACCCTCTACACTCTATCCAGAGCTTACTTAGAGCTTTAAATGATGCTTAATTAGTAGGGAAAGTGGTCTTCATTTTGGGGGATGAGTTGCATTCCCAGGGGGAACTGGGCCTCTCCTGACCTCCCACACTTGAACAGAGCCAGCCAGCTGTGTGTCACAAGGCCCCTAGAACCCTCATCATAATGACCTTGGAACATGGGAGTTCTCAGCTTCAAAGGTAAGACACATCCAGGAGCCATGGGGACTAAACCTACCAGTCATCTAGGAAAACCGCAGTACCTACAGGAGGTTGGGATTAAGACATGCAGACCATGTCCTGGGGTGTGCTGGGGTGGTCAGGGAGGGCTTCCTGGCAGAGGTGGGCCAGGAAGCCTTTCTCTCTATCTCTGGCTCTCCCATCTCTAGAGTCCCTTCATTTGTTATCCCACAAGACCAGGACTCAAACCTGGAGAACACCTAGAATTGGAGCTTCAGATTTCTTCAGTGCAACTTCCAGACATTCAGAATCAGGGCATCTGGGCTGGGGCCTGGGAACTATACTTTGAAAAGCTTCTGGGTAACTACAATTCAGTATTTAAATGGTAGCTCCAGAGGGTAGACACCAGTTTAATTTACCTTTATATCCAGAGCACTTAAGAAAGTGCCTGAGTGACTGAATGAATGACTTAACTGAATGGAAAAATAAACGAAGCTCTCAGATCTCACCTTCTCTGTGTGTATTACAGAGATTTCTATACGGAGCCCTGAGTTCCTTCCGACCAGGGTCAATGTCTGATTCTTTTGTACTTTTCCGGCCGCCTGGCACTGGGCTGGTGCTCAATATTTGTTGAATGACCCTGGGGAGTCGGCTCCTCTTGGCTTCAACATCACCAGTTCTCCACCTTAAGCATCACTTGCATTTCTACTCAGGTCCTGGCCGTGCAAGTCATCTGGCTCTAAAGTCTCCTTAACTGTTGGGCGATGACAGTAATTAGACCAACCAAATTTGAATCAGGAGCTTGGAGTTGGAATTTGGACTCTGACCTCAAATTTGGATGCTTCTCCCTCCTTAGCTATGGGTCCCCCAGCCATGACATCAGAAGGTGTCAGCCTCTGGCTTTCACATTCCTATTGACATCATGAATCAGCGTCCATATGGAAGTCTCCAGTGGACACAATTGTCTCTTTACTGTCCTATCCTGAAAGTTTGTGGCACTGCATGAGGCCTTTTACATAAAAATGCTGTATCTCTGCCTCCCTCCGCTACCCCGTCCCAACCCAGGGAAGCATTATCGCCTCTTCCCCTTCATCTGCTGCCCCCAGGTCTTCACGGAGCAGGAGGTGAAGTGGCTTTGAGTAGGGAGGAGGTGGAGAAAGGACAGGACCACCTCCCACACAGGGTGCCTTCATTCTAAGGTCTCAAGAAGCGTCCAAAGCCAATGTCCAGAGCAGGAGGCGAGGAATGGGCATTACTTGCCATTTAGGATGATCTATGCCTCTGTTCTACCACATGAACTATGTTGACAACTGAGAATTAACTGCAACGAATCCTAAGAAGCTGAGGATCAGACAGGGAGCTGGAAAATCTGAGTGCCAAATCCAATGTGGCTTCTAAAATGAACATGATGGACATAGATCATCTACTGAATTTCCGTTCACCTCTGGCTCCTTCTCTGCAAACTTTAGATAATAACTCTGCCCCAAGTTAGTCAGTGCAGTTTGGTCATGTTACAAAAGCCTCAGAGCAACCACGTGGAGGCTTAATACTCAAACAGGGCTGCAGACACTGCGTGAAGCAAGAGGGTTTCTGATTCCCTTTCTCCCTTTTCTGGTTCTTACAAGGGGTTTACACACATCAATTTCATTTCCTCCAGGGCTGAGTGGTCCTTAACAGGTCCTTTTATTTGCAAAATTGTTCTAATTCTTTAGATTCCCCTATATTACTTTTCTTTTATGCATTACCCCCTCTCTGATGGGAATCCAGTTTTTTGCTTTAAATTTCTGTACATGGGGATTTTTAGGGTGCAAGAATCCCAGGTTTAAAAACATTACTTTGCTATTACAGTGTGGATCAAGGCAGGAGAGAGCTAGAATTTGCATTAAGGAAATCCTGGGAGGGAGAAGCCCCCCGGCGTTGCCTGCTCTGAGGAGTGTGACTGTGCATTGGGGTGTGGTGGTGAGGCCGCAGGGCTGACTTGGAAGGTGCCTGGGGGAGCCCCTCTCATCCTCAGGAGTTCAGTGTTCATGTTCTGAGAAAAACCCAGATTAAAATTCTGATTCTGTCTCCCACCAACCATGTGACTTGGTCTCACCTTTTGGGAGGCACAGTCTTTTCACCCCTGCTGGGCTGCAGAAGAGTGGGCCTTGGACCAGGAACTATTTCTCACTGATAGGAGCCTTCACAGCCTGTGCTGGGCTTAGGGCCTTGTGTGGGAATGTCTTTCTCTGCTCCAGATTCAATGTGTGCTCCTTTATTCTACTTAAGTGTGTGTGTCATATGACACCTGGCAAGCCCACTGCCGTGTCTGCTCCTGTGGGGGGAGGGAGTGGGGTCCTTCATCTGCAGCGTGAGTGGGGCCGGAGGGTAAGCAGACTGTCACCTGTGTCAGCTGTGGGACGAGACCGCTGGCATGGGGACCAAAGCCCACGATTGAAGCTGATCCTGTTCTGTCCCTTCTCCATGTAGTAAAACATTGTTCCCACCAGTGCCTGGATGAGTCATGTCTTCTTGACAACTACGACACCAGTGAGCCATGCAGTGGGTTGACAATCTGGGATGCAGCCCCTGGTGCAGGCATTGCTGTGCTATTGGTGCCCCACCATGCAATGCGGCTCCGCCCTAGAAGGGTGGCAACAGGTGTCATTTGCTTGATACCGTCTCTTAACTTTCTGAGTCTCAGTGTCCTCATATGTTGATAATGCCTCATGGAACTGAAGAGTGAGTGAGGCAGTGTGTGTGTGTGTGTGTGTGTGTGTGTGTGAAGAGCCCGGCGGAGGCCTGGAGAACAGGGGACACTCAATGCATGGGAGAAACTATGAACCTCAGCATCACCAAGACATATCCACAAAATCTCTATGAACTACCCAGGAACCAAGGTTCTGCCTGCCTCCGCGGGGCTTGCAGTAACATCAGTGCGAGGTTCAAAGCTCATCTGCGGTTTCTCTGCATTTCTCCAGGAACTTAGGCCAGGATCACCACAAAAGCAGGATGAGGCCGTTGTTAGAAACTGAGTTCCCTCCTGTTCCCTTCATGTCGGCACAACATGACACGTTATCAGTTATCAGTGAGCCCCCTTCAAAGGACGCCTACCCACGACAGTCTAAGTCTGGGGCACTTAGTTCTAGGTGTAAATCCCGTGCTTTCCGATTTCATTTCTTTCTTTTTTTTTTTAATATATTTTATTGATTTTTTACAGAGAGGAAGGGAGAGGGATAGAGAGCCAGAAACATCAATGAGAGAGAAACATTGATCAGCTGCCTCCTGCACGCCCCCCACTGGGGATGTGCCCGCAACCAAGGTACATGCCCTTGACCGGAATCAAACCCGGGACCCTTGAGTCCGCAGGCCGACGCTCTATCCACTGGGCCAAACCGGTTCTGGCCCGATTTCATTTCATAGAGAAGTGCCAACGACCATCTGTGCCAAAGCCACGCTTTCCTCTTTGGCTCTCACTGTGGGAGCCAGGACCAGTTTAGATTCGGCAGCAGGTTTTCCTCCCTCACCCCTCTGAGCTCGGCGTCTCTGACGATGCGGGAGACAGCCTCACATCATGTGTCACCAGCGGGAGAGGAGCGGAGATGCGGGCTGGAGACAGCTTTCTTCTGAGCGTGAGGTAGTTGGAATTCCCCAGAGCAACAGCCAGCCCAGTCACCCTGAGTCCCCTGAGCTAGTTGGAGTGCCACTGGGTTTTAGTTGCTGCGTTTTGGACCATCTCCATCATCTTAGGACGCTCTCACTTGCTCCACACTTCCCCTCTGTCACCTCCCACCCAGCTGTCATGGACACCAGAAATAACTCAAAGAAGCAATTCTGAGAAGAAGCCACCACAGTCAGCAAAAGGGAGGCGCTCAGCTGAGGCTGCACCTCCACAAGCTCCCTCCTGCTCTGAAAGGACTCCCTCCCTCAGCCCAGGCTCCTGGGGAACCACCATGTGTGTGGCTCTGACTCTCACCGAGCCCAGCCTGAGTCTTTACTGCTGTCATGTCTACTGCTTATTTGGCCGTCAGAAGCCCCCTCTTGTCCCAACCACAGCTACCTTCTGTAGGGCATTTGCTATAGACCCCAGGTGAGGTGCTTTCCATATGCCAGTGCCAACCCTGACCACTCTGGAAGGGAACAGAAGGTCACAGAGGTTGCATTACTTACTCGGGATCACTTAGCCAGTAAGTAGGGGAGCCAGTAACCTCCTAGCTCAACCGAGCTTTGCCACTAGCCAGGCTGCCTCTGTATCACATGGAGCTGCCTCTGGAGTCCTGTTGGCAGAAATGGGCACTTCCAACCCTTGCTGCCTCAGGGGACTGTGATCCGCCCAGCAGGGAGGAGGGAGTTTGCTATAACTCCTTCTCCAGATAGTCAAGGAGTTGTTCAGTCCCAACCAGAACAAGTGGTGATGGTCGGAAGAGGGAGAGGGGAAGTGTAACAACCGAGCTGATAACGAGGACGGAAAGCGTGAAATGGAGAGGGAAACGGACAAGAAAGTCCAGCGAACTCCAGGGACTGTTAATGGAGAGAAATACTGTGGCTAATTACATCTCTGAAGGCTATCTGTTCCAAAATGAATTTTTAGTGAAAAATTAATGTATTTTCCCTGCTACTTACATCGGAGAAGGAAAGACTGAACAGAGTCTCCCAGCACAGCGAGGGCAGCCGTGGTGTCCAGGGCCACCTCTGACCATGTCACCTGAGTCGCTTTCTTGCAGCCTCATCTCTAGGGAGCTACGAAGCAGGCCTCTCAGGGAAGCCACAGAGCAAGCCATGGGACCTCGCACGCCTGGGCTCCGGGAGCATCAGTGCCTCCCGGGGAAGGGCACAGTCATTTTCCTCTGCCCCCCCCCCTTGGTTCCCACAGGGA